TGTCTCTCTCTCTCTCTCTCTCTCTCTCTCTCTCTCTCTCTTTCTCTCTCTCTCTCTCTCTCTCTCTCTCCCTCCCCCCTCTCTCTTCTCTCTCTTCCTCTCTCTCTCTCTCTCTCTCACTCTCAACGACTGGCTAGGCTGAGTGAGAATGTTGAAGTGAGACCGTGAGTTCTCATTGGTTTGTAGATGTGCTGGTGTGGCATGCTCTTTCTTTTTCTTTTTAGTGTTACTGTTGTTCTCATCCATCAGTTCAAGAAGAAATGTGGCCAGTGTTGTGCTTTTTTTTTTGTGAGGCATCGTGGTGAAATCAGACGCTTGTCAAAATAATGAAAGTAAAGAAACTTGCACTTTTCCACTAATTAGGCAATTTTTATCAAAATTATGTTTTTTAGTTCAACACCTTCTATGCTCTTTTAAGGACCCATTTCAGTTTGAATTATACGGAAAAACATTGATTAAAGGCATTAAAAATGTAAATTGTTAGTTTTCACTGACTTCGAGGCTTTGTAAATAACCAAACTTTGGCGGCCACTTAATCACTAATTTTACCTCTAAAACCACGCGACCCACCCGTCATTCAATTGCAAATATCTCGACATGTACTCAAGATAATTGGGTAATTCTTTCATCAATAGCAAGGTAAAAGAACAAGCTTTAAGGTGATTTCAATAACTAAATGTGCACAAAAATGGACTAGCGCCTGATTCCACCGCGCAATGACACATTTGTCCTAAACTAAAACTCTGCAGCAACGCTAGTATCTTTTGTTGTTTTTTCCAAACTATGTAAAGAAGCCAATGTCAAATCATGTTAGTGGGTGGTTGGCGGGTGCTCTGGTGTGGCTTGCTTCTTCTTTCCTATCAAACATCTTTCGTCCTTATCTCCCCTTCTTAATTCTTTTTTATGTTTGTTACTCTCTTGTAACACCTCTGATCTTCTGGCGCTCATATGACCTTATGCAGTTGCGAGCGCCGTGCGTAAAACCTCTACTAAAACTAAAAATAATTTTTTTTATTATGTTAATTTTTTTTTTTTTCCTTTTCTTTTTTATCCAATGAAGGACAAAAACTGGGAGGTTGTGGACACCAGCAAGAACAAGGTTGACCAGTTTAAGCGCACCATGCCGCTTATCTCCAACCTGAAGAACAAAGCCATGAGGCCCCGTCACTGGACGCAGATTCAGGTACTGTACTGTTGTTTCATTGTTGATGTTGTTGTTGTTGCTGTTGTTGCTGTTGTTGTACTGTTGTTTCATTGTTGATGTTGGTGTTGTTGTTAGTGTTGTTGTACTGTTGTTTCGTTGTTGATCTTGTTGTTGTTGTTGTTGGTGTTGTTGCTGTTTTTGGTGTTGTTGTTATTATTGTTGTTGGTGGTGTTGGTGTTGTTGTAGTGTTGTTTCATTGTTGATGTTGTTGTTGTTGCTGTTGTTGATTATGTTGTTGGTAATGAGGATCTTATTGTTGTTGTTTGTGCTGTTGTTGTTTCTGTTGTTGTTGTTGTTGTTGTTGCTGTTGCTGTTGTTTTTGGTGGTGGTGGTAATAAGGATGTTACTGTTGATGTGCTACTGTTGTTGATATTTGTGATGTAGATTTCATTGCTGATGCTGATTGTGGTGGTTCAGCGAATGATGCCATTGCTAAATTTGTTATTGTCATTGTTTTTTATGCTAGTGATGAGGATGTTATTGTTGATGTTGTTGATTGTTGTGTAGCTGATAGTGTTGTTGCTTATCTTGTTGTTGATGATGCAGTTCCTGATGCTGATGTTGAGATTGTTATTGTAGCTGACGACGTTGTTGATGATATAATGGATAATTATGTCACTGAAGATGATGCCCCCCCCCCTGGCGCTGTGCCACTGACTGAAGTGTCTTTAGGCCATTCCCAAAGGGGGGACATTTCTCGTTCTTATGGACAGTAAAAATTGTAAATGGACTGATTCAACAATGTCATGCTCATAACTGTGCCTGAACTACAACAGGGAACTGCTGCTTTTTCTTTCATAATCTTACTATCGTCATTTTCCTCTATTTCTTTTGTAAGTTTGACACACTCTTGTGACCCGCTATTTCCAGGGTGGCTTTTTAAAAATACAAGTCAGAATCCTATGTCTTTTACTTCTGACTGATATTTTTATTTGATGTTGTCCACAGACTGAGATGGCCCGCTCATTTGACCATGACGCGGACGACTTCACGCTGGAGAAGATCATCGAGTTTGGGTTTGACCAGTACGCCGAGCAGATCAACGACATCTCTGGAGCTGCCACCAAGGAGTTGGCCATTGAACAGGTATGTGAGGGAAGCTGTGGTTGGTGAGTGTGTCTATGCAGGCCTGTCAACCTTCCCAATTTGTCGGGAATTTCCCAAATCAGATACGCAGTTCCCGACTACCCGATAACAGTCCCGATAATGACATCCTGATTTCGGAACCGCGCTGTATTATATTATTATTACATTTATTTTCGGGAAAATAAATAAAGAAATCAACGATACCAGAACTTGTGTGTTAATAAAATATCCAAGTACTGGGTGATCCCAAAAGAAACTGTACAACTTGTTTTGTAAATATCTTCCTCCATGCTGAAGTTTGCGTTTCAGATTTTGAACATAATATTTGGAAGCCAAAAGGCATTTGCCTGATATTCTTTTCAGATAAGTCGTTTGAATGGTTTTGCTCTATATGGCACTTAAAAAAACCAACCCATTTTCAACCTTGTCCACATTTTCATAGCATGACGCACAAGTTCGCATTAGGCCCACCACTAAAAGTTGCAACAATCGCGCCATATTGCAAGCTACTGCAGTCTTAACAAGCCAACAGAAGTCTGCAGATACTGTTTTTCCCAAATTTCATTTGCCTGCAGAGATCATGGTTAAGTTTAGTAAAGACCAGAGAGCTTTTTGTATTAAACATTACCTCTCTACAAAATCACCATCCCTGACATTTTGTAAGTTCTGCGCCCGGCATGGAAAGAATGTTTAATTAAGTGCCTTCAAGACCTTTGGTGTCATGAGTAGAGAAATTCTGTCAGTTTGGATCTATAGCGAATCGGAACTAAAAATTTCCTTTAAAAATGACCACTTCAGGTCAAACACACACCTTGTGCAATGCTTTATAAACGTCACCAGAATGCGGATTTCAGTAGTTGAGTCCCATGACACGTCTGTCCGTAGATGGTCTACAGCTAGGACTTTCCTACACCTTAGGAGTCTGCATTCTCGTGGCAGATCTTAACCTATGACTGTATCATTTTCATCTTTGCTCGGCCGAGATGACATGGATCTGAGCGTGACAATGTATTCATGATTCCTCAATTATCGTGAAAAGCGGGGACATTTCCTTGATGACATGTGGTTTAGTGCAAGTCCCATTTTCACCCTGTGGGATATGTTATCTCCAAAAAATGCTGTCTATTGGGCACCCCGCTCCCTATTGTCTCAGGAAGCCACTTCATACTGAATAAGTACAGTGTATGTGGCTCTAAACACTCATGGTTTTGCTGGTCCTTGTGTTTGGGTGTCATTGAACATGTGTTTAACTCATTCGCTACGCCGAGCCATGGGCAACGACACGGCGAAAGTGACTTCGGTACGGCAAGCCGTCCCCAAAGGCTTGAGAACCGACCTATAACTCTAGCTTAGATTTTATTCCAATCCACATATCCAAGTTAAAATAAGGGTTATAATATAACGTCGACTTCTGGGTCAAGCGTTGCCACCAAAAATCTGAAGTTTAGATTCAGTTTTGAAATGCAATTTCGAAGTTTATGCGACTTTGTTTCATCGCGATGCCCAAATTATAGCCCGGACACCAGTCTTAGTACTTTTACACAATATAGTTTATAATTATTTTGCTCACTAAAGAAATATAGGCATCTTCTTTAGAATATTGATACTATTGGACTCAAATTGCCAGTGCTCTGTTATTGAGAAATCCATATTTTTGCATGCTAGATCTAGGTCTAGATCTAAATTGTCAAAATATTTTTTTTCCTCCCCAAAATCACTATTTTTTGGTGAAATTACACAAAAAGTACCACTCAAGACATGTATAGGTTTATTCCAAATACAATTCTGAATACTTTCGTATACGATACAGGTGTTTTTTTGTTGTTTTCCAGTTTTTTTCATCGCCCTGATGGAGTTTGGGGGGGGGAAGCTGTTGTCATTCTTGTTTTGTTCTCAAGAGGTTTATTTATTCCCTTCATTCACATATATCAGTCTTGCAATTTTGTCACAATTTTGTCACAGTTAAAGTGTCAGCATTCATTGGTCAGAACTTCAGGTTTGTAATGATTTGATTGATTGTTCCAGGGCATTGCTGCGATCGCTGAGACCTGGGACATGACAGAATTGGACATTGCGCCCTACAAGGACAAAGGCCACTACAAGCTCAAGTGAGTCCAAGTTTTTTTATATTGTCATGGTCTTAACACAATAACCTAGGTTAACCTTTTGAGCCCTTGATAATTTCACTTTAAGAACTTGATAAGTTAACCTTCTTTGTATCTGTAAATTGACTGTATTTCTGTCTGTCAGGTCGACTGAGATAATATTTTGATAATTTCCCTTTGAAAACTTGATAAATTAACCCTCTTTGTATCTGTAAATTGACTCACTTTAAAAACTTGATACATGAACCCTCTTTGTACCTGTAAATTGACTGTTCTCCTGTCTGTCAGGTCGACTGAGGAGATCTTCCAGGTCCTTGAGGATAACCAGGTCCAGCTGTCCACCATGAAAGCCTCTCGTTTCGTCAAGGCCTTTGAGAAGGAGGTGGACCACTGGGAGCGAACCCTGTCCCTTATCATGGAGACGGTGGAGATGTTACTAACTGTGCAGAGACAGTGGATGTATCTGGAGGTGAGGAGTGAGGATGGTGTGTGTTTGTGTGTGTGTGTGTGTGTGTGTGTGTGTGTGTGTAACTGGGAGCAAACCCTGTCCTGTATCATGGAGACAGTGGAGATGTTACTGACTGTGCAGAGACAGTGGATGTATCTGGAGGTGAGGAGTGAGGATGGTGTGTGTTTGTGTGTGTGTGTGTGTGTGTGTGTGTGTGTGTGTAACTGGGAGCAAACCCTGTCCCTTATCATGGAGACGGTGGAGATGTTACTGACTGTGCAGAGACAGTGGATGTATCTGGAGGTGAGGAGTGAGGATGGTGTGTGTTTGTGTGTGTGTGTGTGTGTGTGTGTGTGTGTGTGTAACTGGGAGCAAACCCTGTCCTGTATCATGGAGACAGTGGAGATGTTACTGACTGTGCAGAGACAGTGGATGTATCTGGAGGTGAGGAGTGAGGAT